AGCAGGAATTGAATTACATGAAGAGTATTTAAGAACGCCAAGTCAAGTTACAGGGCTATCAAGCTTGACTCTATCATGGTGGATCTTTACGATTTTGTGTTTTGAACCCTATGTTTGACCAAGTGTCCCAGGTCACCACATATTTTCCCTTGGTAATGTTCTCCTGATGTTAATGACTTCACGTAACATCAGTCACTTACTTCTTATTTGGACGAGTTCAGTGCCAAATGTTAAATTGACTGAAGACATAATATATGAAATACTAAACTTGTGAAATATTTGCTTTCACTTTAAGGAGACAATTGTAGAATAAGAACAATAAAATGATAGGAGGCTTGGACAAAGCAGAGAATGATGATGAAAATTAATAAGAACTCAAAAGCAGTGAAGTAGAGTTTTAATTTTTTTTATGATAATATTCAGTCATCTCCCAGGGGAGTCTTATGGGCATTCCACACATGTTGAGAATCAGAGGTAATATAAAGAATACTGCATTGGCTGTTATGGTAGGTGCATTATAACTTTATTTGTTTACCAAATTTTCATACATGGTTTGGATTTGCACATTCTTATTGTAGGGTTTATTGTTTTGTGTTAATTTTAGGTAGTCAGTTTTGAGGTATATAATTGTTTTGATTAACGTTGATGAAAGTATGTAATTATGTATACCACTGATTCCATGGACCAGATTCTGCCTTCCATCCACGAGTATGTAAAGAGTGATATCCTCTTATGATATCCAACCAAAACTTTGTATGCATTCCTCATTTGGTCCTGGTGTGCTACACGTCAATCCCATCTCTTCCTCGATTTTATCTTCCTAAGATACTGGTGAAATATACAAATGGTGAAAATTCTCGTGCATTCCTATGCATCCTTGTATCATGTCACTCCAGTTGGGTGTAAATATTCTCCTTGGCACCCTATTCGTAAACACTCCATTTTGAGCTGTTCCTCTCCTGTGAAATTCCAAATTTCTTGCCTTAAGTCCTTGTTTAAAATTTATATTAATATCTACGATTTTTCATTGCAGACGGAAGACAAGATTCTGAACTGTACAGTATCAAGCATTATCAGATTTAGTCTGCTCTTTATCTTTTGATGAGAGATGTTTTGATTTGTTAAACCATTGACAAATGTATCTTTGCCAAATTTTCATAGGGTTTGTTGACTAGGTCTAAATAATGAATATGTTGTTGTCCAGCAACTATATATGAATATATAGTATGTTTACACCGAATAAACTTGCATCATCGGCTTACACCACAAGCTGATGTACCCTTTCAGTTTAATCCAATCCATTTGATTTCCTGGAGATCCGTGATTTGACATATTCTAAGTAGAATTTGAAAATCAATGATTAAAAGCATTTCCTTGTTTTAGACCACTTGGAATAGAAAATGCATCAGTGTAATGTCATTTGTATCAAGAAACAATAACAATGTTTTGTAAATTATTCTTGGTTTCCAGTTTTTTGGCCTTTATTCATTAATAATGAAGTCACTGGTGTGATGTTATGCAGCTCTGCAGTTTAATGCATTTCATGTTATACCACCAAGAACTTAGGTTTCATAATGGTATACAAAGTTAAACACTGCCTATATTGTTTTTGGGAATAAGTGAGGTCAAGGTATTTAAAATGTAGTAAGAACCAGTGTGGAACAGGAAGGAAGAGATGGGAAGCCAGAATATTTTGTGCTATTACTGCACTGTACAAGTCCTCATATGCTCCAATTTGTTATTACACAGAGATGTTTTCTGAGGTGTGCTTTGGGTAGGATTTTCTGTAGTGTGATGTGGGGGTGGGTAGTATGAATCACAGGTTTGGGTGAAAATATTTGTATTGAATTCTCTTGCTTTATGTGCTGTACAGGGGAGGAAGGAAATGTATTGCCCTGGAAGTGAATGTAGATTGTCAGATTATTATGTATGAGTTTTGCCAATTTTTAGAGAGCAGCTTTGAGCATTTGGAAAATGGGTTGGGGAGTGCTCTATTACAATATGAAATGCTTATGAGTAAAGCTGTACCACTATATACAATGTGTGCACTTGGGTGGACCTGAGAGACAATTTAACTCTTGAAGGGGAAGTATATTGGATGGAGGTATTTAGTTTTTTAATTTTTGTAAATGCCTAGCATGGAAGGAAAAAGTGTGGGATGGAAAGTAATTATATGTGGAGGAGTTTAAGAAGGCTGTCTTCTAGGTTATTGCTCTATGTAGTCAGAAGTTTAGAGATCCTTGCTGCCATGGTGGACACTAATTGAAAAACTTATTGGAGGAAAGTATTTAAGCAGTTTTATATTCCTTTCTGGCTCCATTATCAGGGTGATGGAGGCAGCAAGGACCTCTGAATTTTGTGTAAACTTTTACCTGGCCTTCTGATTGCAACAATCCAGATGAAAGCCATCTTCAGACATCCCATGAAAATCTCAAATCCTACACAGTTCTCACACATTTTGCTATTGGAATATACAACTTTAGGATTGTACAGTGAACTGAACATGTAGCCTTCATGGAGGAAAGAAATGCATACAGCATTATGGCGAAAAATTTACAAGGCTTATGCCAATTGTTGGTGTTTATACCCATTTTCTGATGTTAAATGGAGCTAGGAAATGGGGGCTATGGTTTTATTACAGGAAGAAGAAAACTGCATGTTAAAAGAACTTAACTAATAAGGTGCTATTAAATTATATAAGCATATTTATATTTATTAACCTCATCCCAAATATACAAAACCCAAACATGGCAGAATGTAGAGTTCTTGCTGGTGTTTGAAAGCAATTCAGGGGCATGTTCTAAGTGAATGCCTCCCCATCATGTATCAAAGGATGAGGAAAAATGGCAGCATCTAAAATTTTTTTGTGAATTTTCCCCATGTTTTTAGACCTTTTTTTTATCTAGGCAGTTGGTTTCATGTAACATCAAATTTTAAAACTGAAGGTAAGTATACCATTTTCCTGTCAAGGAGGTACATCCATCCTACTAAGACAGGTAAGAATAACTAAGGAAATGGTGTGGCAGACCTGAAAGTTCATCATGGGATTAAGAAAGCCCTCCACCAATCCCTATTCTGGGCTAGCAAAATCCTATCTCGCATAGATACTGTCTTCCCATCTGTCTAGGTGTCTTCCTGACCAATACCCAGTTTACAGCTCTTGCCTCATCCACATGCCCATCTCATTCTAAAAAAGAATATGAGTTGAGTATGTCAGCAGTATCAACATGATTTTAATATCGAGAACAAATAAAAATCTATTAGGAAGAATACAAAATAAATATATGGAAGAAAGAAAGAATGCCATCAGAAAGGAAAGGTCTTATATGGCCAATTTTTTTAAAAGAGATAAAATGCAATGTAGTAATTACAGAGGGTTTACCCATTTAAATGTAGCATAAAATGTTAACAAATATACTCAAAAGACAATACGTGACTACCAATGTGGATTCAGACATAACAGCAGTACTATTGATCAAATATTTGTAATGAGACACGATGGAAAAGAGCTATGAATATAATAAGAATTTACACATTTTATTTATTGATTTTAGACAAGCTTTTGATAGAATACATAGAAATAAACTGCTTACAGCCTTAGAGCATTATGGTATACCAGAAAAGATAATGAAAATGAGTTTACAAGGTAACACATCAAAAGTTAAGATGACAATAAAAGTAGTAGGCCTTTTAATATAATGGTAGGTGTAAGGTGCACCATCAGCAACACTATTTAATATAGCACTAATTAAAGTCTTGGAAGGAACTGTTGAAATAAAATCATAGCAAACTGTGAATATTATGCACATATTAAACTTTTTAGATCTAAACTGTCAAGAAAAAAATGTATGAAACTCTAATAAGACCTATCTTGAGCTATGGGTCAGAAACGTGGACAATGACAGCTGATGAAATGAATGCCCTTAGAATATTCGAAAGAAAAATTATTAGCAAAATTTATGGCCCCACAAAGGAAAGAGAAAACTGGAGAATAAGAATGAATAAGGAGATAGAGTATATATTAGAAGGTGAAGATATTGTAAAAGTTATCAAATCTTTCAGACTGATATGGTGCAGACACATTGCAAGAAAGGAGAAGGAACAAATGCCAAAAAATTAATGTTAACTAATATGGAAGGAATAAGGAAGAGAGGCAGGCCATGTAAAAGGTGGAAAGATGAAATAGGATATTTGAAAATTATGGGAATTAAAAATCGGCACTCTGTAGCTAAGGACTGTCGGGCCTGGAGAGGAATTGTGCAGGAAGCCAAAGTTCAGAGTGGACTGTAGAGCTTGAGAAGAAATAGAAATCTATAATAGGTTTACAAGGGCAACTGAATAGAAGTATTAACTGCAGGATAAGAACATGGTTGGTAGAACTAGATTCAGTGTTTTTGGCCGCTGAACTTTGTGAATTGGAACCTGAGAGCAAGTGACTTACCAAAAGTTTGCTGGAAGGGATGGCACCAGGCCACGTACAGTACACTCCAAATAAAATGTCACCACGGTAATTAACACTGCAGAGAGTATTAGATAACTGTATCTTCTTCACAACTCTTCCACTCCTCACAGACCATCGCTTTCTGACATATCACTTGATTCATCACTACAGCTGCTGCTGTTCACTCCATTATCTTCAATTATAATATGTTCGATAGCTTCTTCGATCATGCCTTCTTGCTCATAATAAATTTGTTCTAGTTTTTCAACATGCTGACATATATTATCCCATTCCACTCGCCCAATTTCTTTGAATCTCTGGCGACACAGATGCTCGACGTCCTTAATTTTAAATGTGTTCTTGCTTGCAACCCATTGTTTTACATCTGCCCAAATAAGTTCAGTGGGGTTTAAATCGGGTTGGTACGGCAGAAGTCTCAGCACAGTATGTTTTTGTCTGTTGAAATCTGAATAATCACATAATATTTCTGCTTTGACTTATTTAATATGATTAAATTGTACAGTTGAGCTTTCAATGTCACAAAATGGGATGTTTCTTTCCAATAACCAGGCTTTCATTTCGTCCTTTGAGTAAGACGGTGGTTTGTCTGTCTGTCTGAGTGTTGTGATATGAGGCATTATCAATGACCAGAAAGGAGATTGCAACAAACATGTGGTATGTTGTTAATACAGCATAGTCACAAGACAACAATATCAGGCTTCCACACTACTGAACTGACCGATGGAAACAAGTGGCAAACTTAATTGCTTCCTTTCCTCCTCCTCCCTTCCTTCATTGAGTGCTCCCCATACTGGGCTCTCCCTACAAGGTCAGTGACCAAAATCGGTGAATCCAGTTCTATGACTGACGTCCATGTTTTTTAAAAGCTACAGGTTACACATTCATTGAATAATGCTTAGGCTTATTCCCTTTTTGATGCTTTAGTTTACTCTTCTCCAAATGTACCTATTATTAGGACAATTACTCAAAGATGATAAGATGGGTGGGACATGTAGCTCACTGTAGAAATGAGAAATGCAGAAAAAAGACTAGGCACAGATGGGGTGACAGTATTGAAAAGGATCTTGAGGAAATAAGGCAGGGGAGTGTGTACGAAATTCATAGGACTGTGGGCAGGGACCACAGAACACATGTTATGAGCCTCGCAATGAAACTTCTGTTTCCATTAAAAACAAGGTATTTTTTGTGACTTATCTTCTCAAAACAGGACTGCTCCATGCAGTTTATCGAGCAGGTTGAGTTTCTTGATAAATCAACATATTTTTATTCTTCAAACTTATCAAACAATACATAAACTCTGCAAATGACTCGGGGTTGAAAATAACATACAAAACAACTAAGACATGTTGCGAGTTGTTGGGGTTGCATTCCGTGGCATTTTGTCCAGCAAATTTAGAATTCTTTGTTATGCAGGCAGGTAAATATATACATGCACCAGTATAAAAGAAGCTGTCCCACTACATGCCATATAGGCACTTATGGGAAAAGGAGGTATAGCTCCTACTCATTCTTAAACTCAGAACTACATGGGGATGAGTGGTCAGCATCACATCTGACGTGAGGTAATGTGATGTATAAATAAGGGCAGTTTTATACAACATAACAGATTTTCATTTAAGTAATACTTGTGAAAGACAAACTTTATAATTATGAGTTACAAAAGCAAAATTTCATGAAGTGAACTGTTATTTTTCACAAGCGTAATGTTATAACTGGGAGGTTACATTCGCAAATGACCAAAAAGGCCCCCCACCACCCAAAAAAATTATCTGGAAGGAGTTTGTCAGTGCACACAAACCATGAAAATGTTTTCCATTTTAGCAGTATGTCCATCACATTTACATATCAGTGTAGACAACAATGGATAAGCATTCAATACTTCCTAAAACCATCCTGGATTATCCAAAGGACCATAGCATTTTTGATGGAGATAAACTTCTGGCATATATCACTATTTCACATTCCACCATCACTGTTTTACCGTTTCAGCCTTC